CTGCGTCGGCATCGACGTGGTGCGGCGCCGGAAGAACGGGCTGGCCAACGCCGGCTTTCCGCTTCCCATCTTCTGCGCGCTCGATGACGTGAAAGTGGCGCAGCCTGGGCATCTGGCCGACCTGTCGTATGTAAGCCTGCGCGTAGACCGCCGCGCGACGACCTACTCACAATTGCCCTATGTGGGCGAAGGCTGGTACGGCAAACCTATAACTGCCTTCATGCTCGAAACAGGCGTGGCTACGTGGGATGACTTCAAGTACTCCTTGGACGCCACTGCACACGTCACGCCAGAGTGTTTCCACAAGGCACTGGACATCATGGAGCAGGCATGGCCTGACGGCGAGGAGCATTACGCGAAGCTTTCTGTAAATGCACTAATCGGCCTCTGGGCCCGCAACATGGACGTGGTGTACACCACGCGGAGCAGCCAAAACGAGCTAGACGGCTACGGGTGCCAAGAGCGGCGGGTTTTCCGTGTTTTTGCATCCCTCCTATCCGGACAGACGACAGAAGAGGACGCAGAAGAGGGGATGAGAGTTGGAGAAGAAATTGTCGCTGAAGCGGAACAGCCGCTTGCAGAGTACTGGGACTTCATCTTCATGCGCAATCTGCTGAGCAACGCAAGCCACAGGCCGCTGCACGACTTTGTGATGGCGGCGGAGTATGTGGCCGTGGCCAGAATCAAACACGAGCTGCGGGCCGCGCTACCGTCCTACATCAAATGCATCAAGACTGACTGCGTGGTTGTCCAGCAACTACCGAAGAAACACCAGCATCTCCTGCAAGCCCTCCAGGACCTGAAACACCCTGACGGCAGCCAAGTCTACCGCATCGAGGAGGTCAAGCCACTGCGCGGGCTACAGAGAGCCGCAACTCGCAGAACACGCAATGCCTCCGAACCTGGAGTGGAGGGACATCCCTGACCCCTTGGCGCACTGCTTGGCAGGAGGCTCCTTGCTCCTCACCGGCTTGCCTGGGACCGGCAAAACCCACCTAGCTCGGCGCATCGTGGCCGCGCTGCGGGAACAAAAGCAAGCCGTGCACATCGTGGCCAAGACGCACTGCGCCGTGCAGAACCTGGGCCAGGGAGCCCGCACGGCTGACCACTGGCTGCGGAAGTTTGTGCGCCACGGGAACGTGCGCCTGATTGATTGGCTGGTGGTCGAAGAAATTACGCAGCTGGACACCGCGCTCTGGAACGACATTGCGTGCATGGCCCTGAACACCCGCATCCGCTTCATTCTCCTGGGCGACTTCCGCCAATTGCCCGCCGTGCTAGATAGCTTTGCCGGCGCCGAAGTTCAGCGTGAGCTCCAGCACGCGCAGCTCATAAAGTCACTGACACGGGGCTACCGGCACGAATTGGTGGAAAACAAGCGTAGCGACCAGGTCTTCGACTTTTGCGCTGGCTGCGTATTGATGAGCCGGATGAGACCCCACTGAACCGCGCTCTCTGCGAAGCTTGGGCCAAGTTCCCGGACAAGCGCATCACACCAGACACGGCCCTGGCAATAAGCCATTGGCATCAAAGCCCCAGCAGGCGCTATACTCTTCGTATATTCCCCTAGCAAGACCACCAAGAATTTGACCAATAAGCCACAGACCATGCGGATCTGGCCGGGCATCCGACTGGTGGGCGCGGGTGGCAAGATTTGCAAGGCACGTTTGCAACGGTCAAAACATGCGGCGATGAAGCCGTGGAGCTAGAGGACGGGACGGTGCTCAAAAAGGACGACCTCTTCAAGTACACCCGCTTGCCACACGCCGTCAAGGCCTCACGCTTGTCGGGCACGTGAGTCTCTGCGACGTCTCCAGCCCACACTTCACGCTCAGGCACTTGTACGTGGGAAGGTCCAGAGCCACCCGCTCGGACCTCTTGTCTGTGCAGACGCGGTAGAATAAAATGCTGCGCTCGTCCGACGAACCTCCATCAGCCCCCATGACCTGGCGCGACTGCGTGATCTGCAACCTGGAGGTGGCCTGCCTCGTCGCCGGACTGGTCGCCTTTATCTGGTTCGCATGCGACCCGGAGAAAGAGGATGCCGAGGCTTCTCGAGCTCTTCAGTGGGACAGGCTCGATTGGCAGGGCCTTCGCGGCTAGTGGCTGGGAGGTCGTTTCCGTGGACCTGGACCCCAAGTTCCAGCCCACCATCTGCTGCGACGTCATGGAATTGGACGAGGCGGCCCTGAGGCACTTCGACTTCGTGTGGGCCAGCCCGGTATGCACCGAGTACAGCAGGGCCCTGACGAAGCGCCCCAGGAACCTTGAGGCCGGGGATCGGCTGGTGTTGCACACGCTGGAGATCATCGAGAACCTGCGCCCCAGGTGGTGGGCTTTTGAAAACCCGCAGACCGGCCTGCCTGCACTATAGCGACGTCTGCTACTGCAAGTATGGCTTCCGCTACAAGAAGGCCACAAGGATTTGGCACAACCTGCCCTAAGAGGCCTCGGAGACCATGCGCCGCAAGGACGACCGCTGCGAGGCCTTTTCGGACGGCATCCACCCCGAGGCTGCCCAGCGTGGCACCACCAACGGTCGCCGCAACCAGCAGTCCCGGGAGCAACTGTACAGCATGCCCCCGCGGCTCTGCGACGAGATCGTGGCGGCGGTGAGCTAGGAAAGATGTGCTTCGAGCGCTACAAGGCCTTGTGGATAAAGCATGGGCAAGGTCAAGCTACTCCCCAATCCCGAGTACACCTCGAAGCAGCCGAGAGATGGCATAGTGCCGCGGATGCCCTGCACCGGGATCTTCCTCGGACCCAGCAAGAGCGGGAAGACTGTCGCGCTGATCAGCGCGAGCCTGGAGCAATATCGCACGGCGGACGGTTCCAGCGTGTTTGAGCGCATCTACATCTTTTCGCCGAGTATGGAGATCGACGACGGCTGGAGG